AATATATGCATGAACAAGATGTCTGAGTTGGAACATGGGCGTAGTTTGGGGAATGGCGCCCAATCACACATACACAAATATATAAATAAAACATATGTATTATTTAAAAACTCCATGTATTTCCCCCTTGAGCTCCCACCAAAAAAAAAACTGTCTGAAACTACAATCCTTGTCATATGCCAACGAATCATTTGTTGCACTCTCAACAGAATATTGTCTAATTTCGGTGTCAGATCGTGGCAGCGGCAACTTTGTGTTGTAATTAAATAATCACATTGACAACGGCGGAACGTCGTATCCAGCGCGCAAACGCCGGGAGCACTGGGGCAGAAAATCACCTACAAGAAAACGAAACCGGGTAGCTAAAAACGCCAGCAAAAAAATTGAGCGATTTGAGTGGTGATTACAAAAATGGTGTCTCTAGCATTTTCTTTTGAGACGGCAAGCAGCTGTTTCAATGGAAATGGAAAAACTGGCGAACTACACCACGAACTAACTAAGTAAGGCGTTAAATTTTGTGTGGCGGATAAAAAAAATAAAATGTGTAAGCCGGTTTACGTTAACGACTTTAACTTTAATGTTATTGTAATAGTTGCCTGGCTGGCCAAATAAAAAAAAAAACACCGATTGCAGTTAATGGAAAAATACTCTTGAAAATAACTGCCAAAGCTCTAGGTTTGTTTTTTTGCACAAAGTATGGAAACTTACTTTCAATTTCGGTATAAAAATTGTTTTGTTTTTGAATCTCAAGTATTGATATTAAGAAGGAAAAATTAAAACGAAATCAAAAAAAAAAAAACAATCTCCTTTGCATGCCTATGATTGGAGTATACATATGTGTGCCTGTGTGTGTATTGGAGTCAGGAACTGGTTTCAGTTTTGTTGTTATTTATTGGCGGGCCTAGAGACCTGAATATGTGGTGACGGTGAAGGAGGTGAGGGGTGATAATTTGTATTGGCAGTAAAAGGACATTTTTGTGTGTGATTTGCTAACCCTTGCCTAACCGACCAACCAACCAACCAGTAGCCTCGAATGGTAGGAAAAGTGGTCAATAGCATTGTTAACTGAAGGACTTTTGGTAAGCGGTAAATAGCAATGCACGTTTCGTTGTTGTTGTTGCTGTTTTTACAGTAAAGGTTACTATACCTTTCGAGGTCATGAAGATTGTTCGTTAAACATTTATTCATGAAAAAAAGGAAATGTTTATTTTCGATATTCCGCTTTACCCAAGGAAAGTTTAAACAAAAAAATTGTCAACAAGATTTTATCTTTTACGCTTTTTTTGCGTAATAATGCTTTTTTTGTAACGTTTTCAAAATGTTTGTGTACATTTTAGTGTTGGCGATTTGGTATGAATCATTTGTTGTTGTTGATGCAGGTTTTCGTTATTTGCTCAATAAATATTTGTGTTGAAAAAAATCGCCTCATCATCGATGCAAGTGGCCAGAGGTATTTGACAACAAGTTTTAAATATCTGACATTAATCTGTTACACATTTCGATATGGGCGAAAAATGGGTCAGTATTTTAACCTACTTTATTTTTCAAGGGGTATGAAATAAAAAAACAGGAGGTCTTCGACTTATAAACGACCCATAGGAAGTGTTATGTGCTTAGAAGACGGAAAGCAGATCTTCTACATATAGTAGACCTTCAGAATGTATTTTATATGTAGAAGATCTAGAGGAATTATTGGTTTTATAAGGACCTGAATAAATGATTTTAAAAAAAGTAATTCCGCAGGGTATGTTAGCCACGTATTTTTCGCACCAAGCTCATTTCATTGATTCCCCATAAGACCACTTGAAATTATTCTGAAAATAGAGGCACGGCCTCATGAAGGTTGTTGTATACATTTAACATATCTTGTAGCGATTCTATTACTAGAAGATATTCGTTTTCACCACATCAGACACTGTTACTTACAAAATATCCTATAAATAGGTCTCTTATAGCTGTTTGGTAGAATGAAGATAGCCAGTAGGTCTTTTTAAAATAAAACGCTTTAACAAGCTCTCTTTTGGTAATCCAGACTCCCAGATCATTTTACCACAGTTACCACTTGGGGTCCTAAGTACGATATATTTTTTCTTATGAAACTTCATATTTCCCGAGTTATGGGCCCCTAAAATTCCGTTAGAATTCCAATGTTTGTAAGATCAACAAAGGCAATGTGAAGCTCTGACTCTCCTGATACAAAGACCGGCAACACAATTAAACTTTACTTTTTAAAAAGAGCTCCAGTCACCGGGGTTGGAATCCTGCCATAGGCGAATTTGGACATACTCGGAGGAGAAAAACTCAAGACTTGGCCGAAGGTTGATTACTTAAAAAAGTATTAAATTAAAAAAAAAAAACTTTAGATCGTGTTACTCAGGTTGATACCCTGATACGGTGGTCGTACAAAGAAATTATAGCGTCCCCTGAACAGTACCTGAGGTAAAATTTTAGAAATGATTAGTGAGTTTGCCCTAATACCACTTGCTCCATGATCTTTAGAGAGGAGGCCTCCTGTAGCTTTTCTATATAGAAGGGTCTTGCATAGTAAGCTTCTGTAGATCTGCTAAAAAAAGAAGACCCTCACCTCTTGGACGCCTACAAATAAAATGCCTTCCGTTGTTATTCGGCAGACACCAGATTTTTTTTTTTATTGGTTTATAGAAGATCTCCAGTTGGTCTTTATTACACATCGAAGTCCTCCTCATAATTTTCCATGAATAAAATACCTCTATGGTTGGAGGATCTCCTTTAGATTTTATATAAGTAGAAGGCGACATCTTCATTTTCTATACAGAGGGTCCCTCTAGGCCTTCTGCAGTTCCTGCATTCTATGACTTATAATCGAGAATGTATTGTCTATGGATAAAATACCTCCTGAAGGCTTCTATAGGTAAAAAGACCCAATCTATGTATTTTGTAAAGGAGAAGTCATTTTGTAGTTCTATGGACAGAGTATCTCCTAAAGTTCTTCCATCGAGAAAATGCATCCAATAGGTCTTCCACACATTGAAGGCTGCAGTACATCGTAGAAATTCTTCATTAGGTCTTCTATACCACCTTTAGGTCTTATATAGTTTAAGGGGCTCATGTAATTCATCTATACATAGACCTCCTGTCGCAGGTATGGACCACTTCTGTTAAGTCTTCCTCATGTATGAGATATTCTGTAAGCCTTTATTTATTGAAATATCCTCCAAAGATACTCCGTCTTCCATAGGTTTTTTATATGTAAAAGGCTTTCGCTTTAGGACATTTTGGAAAAAAATAAGCATTTTAAATGGAAGTTCGGACCCCAGTTCTCCCCCGCTTACGCCTCTGTAAATAGGGACCTATAAAAGAACATCTTTGAAGTACTTTTTACGGCATTCCTATCTACAGAAAACCTTTAAAATACTTTCTTTTCCCCAAAAGACTTGTTTCGTAGAAGATCTCCTCTTTCTATAAAAGAAGGGTTCCCTTTTTATAAAAGATTTGTAAAAAGCTTTCTCTTTCTATAGAATACCTTATTATTCTATATGAGACTATTAGGTGTTGTCTTTTATCGACAGAAGTCATTTGGAAGTTCGCTTTTTTACACAAGACATTTAGGAAGTTCTTTTATTAATAGAAGGTCTTTTAATGGTCGTTGTCTCTATAGAAGATCCTGAGAACTTATTCTTTCTGTTGAAGATTTTTGGATGTTTTTCTTTCTATAGAACATCTTTGGAAATTCATCATTCAAATCTTCTACCTTTTATAAAATAATTTTGGAAGACATTTTTTCTATAGATGTTTTATGTTTTCTATTGGAATTATTTAAAAGATCTTGTGGATCTCAATTTATCTGTCTACAGAAGACTTTTAGGAGGTATCTTTGACCTTTTGAACATACTCTTTTTGAGGAAGATGCTTTAAGCGTTCTGTAGAGGACGCTTATAGCGTTCCCTATTTATAGAAATCCGTTGGAAGTCCTTCTTTCTATAGAATACCTTTAGAATGCAATGTTTTCACAAGAAACATTTTTTTTCATTAGAAAATCTGTCTTCATTTTATAGAAGTTTTAGAAGGTTTATTCAAGAAGTTTCCAAATTTTCCAAATGTTTAGCTATTCCAAAAGATAAAACCAACGGTTTCATGAATTGCTGCAAAACGTCAATAGAAAATATTTATTGCAAATTATGTGCAATTTTGTTCAAGTACTCGTCGGAAATAGTCGGATTTTTACGTTTTCACAACGATAGGAGACGTAAATGACAAAATATCAACTCCTTTTTTATTTGATTGGTGATGTGGAAAGAAACCTATCCCAGGTGTCTTATATCCTAAGGTAATTACTTTGAAAGCAAAAAAAGGAATTGAAAAGAAATCCCACCCTGAAAAAGTACAATTTTCCTCCCGAGCTTCCGTTCCTTTTGCCTTAGTGTTAATAAATTACTATTTTCTTAATTTAAGGAACATCTGAGATAGTTGAATACAAACGAAAAAAAACCCTCGTATGATTACTTTGATATTTTGAAGAAAAAAAACAAAAGACTTAAGACACAATCTCGAAAAAAGTTTAATTTGGAAGTATGACATAAATTCAAGTTCGTGACTTAAGTCTTTTGTTTAACAATGTAAGTCTAAGAGAGATTTCCAAGCTTTCTCCTTAATATTCTCTTGAAATTTCTTCCACAGAATAGCGGCATTTCAAGCTCTTCAAGTTTGTTTCTTAAGTCTTTTGTTTAAACTCTTTACTGTTCTCAATTTTAGAAAGAGAATGCTACAGCACATGTTTCTGTCTTAAGTCTTTCGTTTTGGCAAATTTTTCTTGCACTCCTGAACTAACTGTAAATTTTCTAAAATCAATTTCAATAACCATAAATTCCTTTCCTTCATTATCATTGCCATTCACTTGTGTCCAACCTAAGTCAAATGTCAATATTGTCTTATTTGTCATGGCAAACAATTTGCTTTAGCAAATATACCGTAGTCATACCGTAGTTGTAAACAAAATAAATGCAAAGACGATGGCCACTTACCTTTCCATTTGACAGTGGGATCTGTAACACATCAAGTTCCTGATTTGATGCTGGCAGAGGGACAGCCGCCACAAAAGCAAGGACAGAGCACACGCAGGCAAGTGATAACATATGGGACCTCATTGTGTCTTTGTGTGTATGTGTGTGTGAATAAGGGTTGGTTTTAGGAAAAAAGTCTTTTTTTTATTTTTTTTTTGGTAATTTAAAAGCGTTAAACGATTTCACCGTCTCGTTTATCAACCAACAACTGATGATGGATTTTATGCCACACCGAGTACGTAAACTAAACTAAACTGCAAAAGAAGAAACAGAGAGGGAGAGAAACAAATTAAAAATTAGTGATTGGTCTTGTTTAACTTGAAATACATATTAAAATTGCTAAATAACTTCCAGTGAATAAAAGCGGAAGTTGTTGTTTGTGCATGTTCTAAAAAAAACGAAAAACGAAAAAACAACAACGAAAATACGAATGGATGCCCTTTAAAAATGAATTCGTGATTCCACCTGAAACAACCTGTCCGGTTGTTTTTTGTTGTTGTTGGAAATTTACAAATATTTCAACCAAAAAATTAACTGTTTATGTTAAATCAATCATTGTTTAAATTGGCCATAAACTTGGGTGTTTTTGTTTTTCTGTCATCTTTGTGGCCAAGAAGCAGCAGCAGAAAACCAATCGCATGACCTTGCTAGGAATGAGATTTTTTTTTTTGAAATTGATTGAGTTGTTTTAAAAATCTCTGGGTCACCACCGGGGTTGTTTTGATCATTTATTATTGTTTTGTTAATATTCAAATTTATTGGTTTTTTGTTTCTGTTGTTTTTGTTACAAATACTAATGATTATCATCTAAATGACCACAATCCAAAGTTTGAAGCCATTGACAAGTCATCTGCCAGAAAAGTAGAAAAAAAAAACAAAGCGAAAACTGAAAGACCCTACCAATTATCGGCCAAGGTCATCCACATTGCTTTTGCTTGTCTGGGTCTTGTGAATTTTTGTTGTTGTTGTGATTGTATTGGTTTTTTGTTGTACTTAAAGCGTTTTTATTATTATTTATTAAATTAGTGGACGCCATGTGCCTACTGTGGGGAATTTTTTCTTCGTCCGCTCGTTTGTTCGTTCGAGTATTTGGCCAAATTTATTATTTCATGGTAATCACGATTTTATGTTAATTTATAATGCCAATATACGCATAAACTATTTCAATGTGTGTGTGTAGTTGTTTTATAGTTACTTTTGGGGAGAGAGAGAGGGCGAAAGAGATCTCTCTTATAGAAGAGAAATATATATCTAAAGAGAATTGTGTTTGAAAATTTGTGTTTGAACTATTTATTTATCTGGGAATTTCTAAGGTATTTTGGATTTTTTTTTTAATTTTGGAATTTTTGTAAAATGTTATAATGCTGATTTTTGGATTTTTTTTTTTGAAATGAATTAAAAATTAAATCACGTTAAATGCAACTCAACTTCTTGTCTTATCTATGAAATATTTTTTTTTTTGGGATTCTATTTTTATTTTTGAATATGCAACTTAAAAATATTCAATATTAAATTGAAAATTCAAATTCAAGGTTTTCTAAAAGAAAGGGGTTTGAAATTAACAAATTTTAATTTCAAATATCTCTTTTTGGAATTTAGTTATTAAAATTCCAATACCCGTTTGATTTAAAAAAAACCCCAATTTAAAAAAAAAAATATTTAAATGTTTTTTCTTGGGCTCAGAACTAGTTTGAAAGTTAAATAAAATCGACTGCCACTGTTGAAAGTTTGTTTCTTAAGTCTTTTGTTACGAACTTTATTTAGCATCTATGTTCTATGGAGAGAACTGGCGTGAATCCTCTAAGAAGACTTCCAGGTATTTTATAAGAAGATATATAGATATCTGCAAGAAAGCTTCGGATCTTTTACAAGAAAAGCTTCAGGTGTTCTATGAGAAGAAAACTTTCAGCTTTTCTATAAGAAGAGCACCGCTTTTTCACAATTTTTCCAATTTTCCATGGAGAAGAACTCCAGTTCTTCTATGGAGATAACCTTCAGTTCTTCTAGAGGGAAGACTTTCAGTTTTTCTGGGAGAAGACTTTTAGTTTTTCTATGGAGAAAATCTTCAGTTCTTCTGTGGAGAAGACCTTAAATTCAACCACCGGAGAAGATATTATTTTCTTCAATGGGAAGATCTTCAGTTCTTCTAAAGAGAAGACATCCAATTCTTCTATGTAGAGGACCTTTAGTTCTTCTATGGAGAAGATCTCCAGATCTTCTATGGAAGACTTTCAGTTCTTCTATGGAGAAGATATTATTTCTTCTATGGAGAAAACCTTCAGTTCTTCTATGGAGAAGACCCACAGATCTTTTACTCGAGAGAAAATGTTCAATTTTTCTATAGAGAAAACCTTCAGTTCTTCTATGGAGAAGGTGCGCCGATCATCTCTAAAGAAAACCTTCAGCCCTTCTATGGAAAATACCATTATTTCCTCTGTGGAGAAACATGAAGTTCTTCTTTGGAGAAGTCCTCAAGTTTTTCTATGGAGAATATATTGAGTTTTTCAATGGAGAAGACCTGGTGTTCTTCTATAGAGAAGACAGAGTTATTTTATGGAAAATACCTCCAGTTCTTCTATGGTGAAGACTTCAAGGTGTTCCATAGAGAAGACCTACAGATCTTTTATAGAGTAAACCTAGAGTTATTTTATGGATAAGACCTACAGATCTTCTATAGAGAAGACCTAGAATTCTTTTTTTGGATAAGACCTCTAGTTCTTCTACTCGAGAGCAGACTTCTCATTCTTCTATGGAAATGACCTCTTCTATGGAAAATACCTGTAATTCTTCTATAGGAAAGCCTTTCAATTCGAGCAATGGGGAAGATTTTCAGTTCAGTTCTTCTATGGAGAAGATCTGGAGTTTTTCCGTCGAGAATACCTTGTGTTCTTCTATGGAAAAGACCTGGAGTTCTTCAATAAAGAATACTTCAGAGTACTACAATGGAGAAGATCTAGAGCTCCTTTATGGATACGACCTCCAGTGCTTCTACCCGAGAGAAGACCTCAAGATCTTCTATGAAAAAAAAACTAACAGTTCTCCTATGTAGAAGACCTCAGTTATTCTATAGAACAAAAAACCTTCAGTTCTTTTACCTACGGATCTGGTTTGGAGAAGACTTATTCTATGGAAAATACATCCAGGATCTATTCTATAGAAGACCTTATAATATCAATGAGAAGACCCTCATCATCTTTTTAGAAGACCAATGGATCTTCTGGTTTAATGACATATTCTTCTTCTATAAAAATACCTTCGACAGGTCTCAAAGAAAAGCTATAAGCTATGAGAAGGAGACTCATAAGAGGACCTATAATTCTATGTGAAGACATATAACAATTCTATGAAAAAACAGGTAAAAAGCTGTAAGATCGGCCAGGCAGAACTTTGAATACCCTCCACCATTTGGAAAGAATTTTGCAATTTTAAAAAAAATAAAAATCGTTTAACCTGTCAACGACCTGCATAGGCAACTTTTATCATAATATTCAAATGCGAAACTTGAAAAAAAAAATGCGTGAAAATGTCGCTAAAATCATTAAAATACGGAATATGGGGAGGCACCGTTATTTCCTTTAAAACAATTCCAGTGAATAATGTCGCTAAAATCATCGAAATACCGAATATCGTGAGGTACCGTTATATGGCGGCTATACAAAAACATGGACCGATATATCTCATTTTTATTACCAACCATCCTAGACATAATTCAAATTGTTCTGCCAAATTTTGAAGCTCTACGTCAAATAATTTGTGGAATGACAAAGTTAATATACCCTCCTTTTTAAGGTGGAGGGTATGAAAAAATAGAGAAGAACAATAGCTTATCCAATTTGCCCAGCCTTATGGTACGGCAAAGACAAGATTTTACCATTTTTTAAATTTTTATCCTTAGAAATATGAGGACTACTTTTTTTTATAGGGAAAACAAAATTTCCAGCTCTTGAGGATTGCTCTTTTCTATGGCAAAAAAAAAAAAACAAAACATTAGGCCACTGAAGACTATTTCTTTCATAAAAAACATAGGTCCCTTAATATAACTTTCCGATCTCTGGGTATTATAGAAAGAAATCTTTAAACCTCCCAATGCTACTTTTTCTATAGCAAAAATTCTCAGGCTCAGGGAAGAAGACCTATGGCTCTCTTTACATAAGTTTTTTTTATTATTTCCTCCTGTTTTTTTTTTTTTTTTTTTTTTTTTTTTTTGAAAATTCAATTTTCAACCTATCTTTAATTAACTATAAATAATCCCTTAATAATTGGCCGTTCACTTTGAGCCTCAAAGCGAAGTGAGTTATCGCAAATCACGTTTGTGTCTTAAGTCTTTTGTTTTGCTTTCATAACATCCCAAACAGAAATGAAATATTTTTTTTACCATATAATTGGGTTTTAGCATGAAACAGCCCTTTTACTCTTACAACAGTTTTTGGTGAACAGATGAAGGGGGGAGGGTGTGTCCCCCGCCCCTCATCTATTCGTGTCTCTACAAGATTTGTAAGCCAATCTCCACAATTTTGCAACAACCTATCACTTACTACCTAAACAAATTAGGTATATCAAATTAAAATGAAACCCCTTTTAATTTTAAATTATTTTTATTTTGAAAACAAAAAAAGAAACATGTAATTCGAATCGCAAATCTATTCCGAAGAAGAAAAAAAACAAGTGGATGTAAAAATATAAAAATGATTGCCTAATAAATATCTTATTGACGTGCGATCGCAATCGATCTTTGTCTGGCAAACGACTTTAAAATTATTTACGCCAATGGCAAAATCTCGATTTTGTTTTGTATCTCGTCTTTTTCTATTGTTTTCATGTTTGCTATTGCGTTTTTATTTCATCTTCCTTTGCCTGGTTTTAGTTGTTGCCATTGCTTTGTTTTTGTTTTTTTTTTGTCTTTCTAACAAATCATTGAAGTGCAATCAATAAAATCTATTAACCTTATTATTGTAAGTGTTATTAACAACAATTTGTGAATAAACAAAATAGTCATGAAGTCGGTTTTTTTCTGTTCACCCCATTCGAAGCTTCTCCAGCGTGTTTGGTTTCGCGGAGAATGGAGAAGTCACCTGCAATAAAAATGCCAAAACATATTTTTTTTTTGTTGTTCGAATATAAAACAAGACTAAATAAAAAAATTGCGTGTCTCTGTGTGGTTTTTTGAATGAATAATTATCTTTTATGTCCGACGATAAAATTGAAGAAATAAAAAATCCACAACATCAATAAAATGTAAAAACAATTGTCGGCA